CCCCGCAGTTTTGTGATCCTGTTTTTTGAGGATCACGAAACTGCGGAGGAAATCGGGCAAAGCCGCGGGTCAAATGCAGCCCCGCAGCTTCGGGTGTGAAATTGACCAATAGTATCAGGGCAAACGGCCGCGCAAAATTGAGGCAGCTCTAGTGCGAAACCAACCTAGGTTTTACAGGAAGTACTCTACTCTGCTCTTGATCACACACAGATAAATGCAGATACGTACGTAGGACTGGGGAAACAGGGTCAATGCATTCAGGGGTTAACGGGTTGACAGAAGAGCACACTCCGGGCCATTGCTTTATTTTTATTTTTCTCTCCTTTTTTTAGTTATGATTTTACAGCCTGGAGATGGATAAAAATAATTGGAAAATGCAAACCTCTCCTGTCCTCCAGTGATACTCTGGCAGGTCTACAGGAGTAATAAGAGCACACTCCGGGCCATTGCTTTATTTTTATTTTTCTCTCCTTTTTTTAGTTATGATTTTACAGCCTGGAGATGGATAAAAATAATTGGAAAATGCAAACCTCTCCTGTCCTCCAGTGATACTCTGGCAGGTCTACAGGAGTAAATAAACCTTACCCATTCTCCAGTTCTTCGACTTTTCTAATCTCTCCCTGCTCCTGCCCCATACGGAGCCACATCATGTGAGTCTAGAAGATTCTGGCTATCAAACTGAGCAAACATGATCATCTTCTGATCTCTTCCTCTCGAGGATATGACCTTTAGATGTAATTCTCGCTCTGCATCTGGATGTGCCCTGAACTCTCTCCTCTTACTGGTTTAAAGTTAAGTTCAGATAAGGTGGAAGAACAAAATGCACTTTATTGTGTTTCCTTCCCATCTAGATCTTGATCCTAGACCTATTTGATGTTGCTTCTAAACTGTGCAGAAAGTGATGCTGCAACACTGGGGGGAATGTCTATTTCCCTCTCCCACCCCCAAGAACATAAGAACATAAGAGAAGCCAATGTTGGATCAGGCCAATGGCCCATCCAGTCCAACACTCTGTCACACAGTGGCCAAAAATACCAGGGGCCATCAGGAGGTCCAGCAGTGGGGCCAGGACACCAGAAGCCCTCCCACTGCTGCCCCCCCAACCACCAAGAATACAGAGCATCCCTTGCCCCAGACTGAGAGTTCCTATCTATACCTCGTGGCTAATAGCCACTGATGGACCTCTGCTCCATATGCTTATCTACATAAGAACAGAAGAGAAGCCAATGTTGGATCAGG